ACACACACACACACACACACACACACACACACTCTCTAGCTGCGGCTGATGGATGCTATCCGGACCAGCATCATGGAGCACCGTTTCCCAGACTTTGTTCGGGACTTCATGAAGACCATGTATGGGGACCTCGGGCGCTGCCCATCCTGGGCTGTAGAGGCCCTGGAGTCAGTTGGCATCCCTTTAAACTGACCACCTATCCCAGTCCCCAAGCAGAGCCTTACCCTTGATCTGAGGGGGCTCCAGGGACAAAAGCCAAGGCTGTATGTGAAAAAGGAGTCTCTGTGTGTTGGCCCAGGCCCAGAGTAAAGATTGAAGAGTTTTCTTTTTTTTTTTTTGGTAACATCTCTGTGTTTGTGCAGGTTTTTTTTGGGTCCCATCCCAAGGGGAAATAGATCTAGGTCTGTTCCACCCACAGCCATCCTACAAGAAAGCTATGTTTTACATGATTTCACACGTATTATTGAAGTATATTGCTTCCCTTCTGAATGGCTGGGGAAGGGGTGGGAGAGAGAATTTGGAACTCAAAATTAAAAAAAAAAAGACTGTTCAAAACAAATAAATGGGAGGGGGGAGAAAATAGAAGAAAGGGAAAATGATTGATGAAGCAAGAAGTAAGGTCCTATTGGAGAGAGGAGGAGTTGAGATTAAGGCGAAAGGGCTGGCTTTGACAAAGAGGATGCAAATGTGCTTTGAAACCGGAGGGAACGAGGAGAGGAAGGGGCAGAGGCAGGGGGAGTGCAGGGCTGTTACATCTGCTGCCCCTAGTCTTCATGGTGAGGTAGGAAGTAAGGTCGCCTTCTAGGGAACTGATGAAGGAGAAAAAAGTTTTGAACAGCTGTGGGGAGTGTGATTGGGGTCAAAGAGAGATGCTGAGAAGGTTTGCAGGGCAATGTTGGGAAACTTGACAGCATGATTGTGTATAGTCAACACATTCATTGGGGCTTTGCAATCTTCCAGCAACACCGAGCAATTTAGAGTTTAAATGGAGGTGGATGGATTGTGGGGGTAACCCAGGGCTACAGATTAGCTGGGTAGGAATAACACTGATGATCTCTAGCATTCAGATAGCATTTTAAGGTTTACAGGTGCTTTACAGATAACTCATTTGATCTTCACACCAAACCTGGGAGGTAGGCGGTTTTATCCCCATTTTTTTAAAGCTGAGGAAGGGGAAGTGACTTGCCCAGAGTCACACAGTTAGGAACGGTGTGAAGCGGGATTTGAATGCAGATCTTCCTGACTCTAGGTCCAGTGCTCTCTCCAATGGGCTACATAGGATAGTGAGGTGTGGGACCCAAAGGTGGAAGAGAATAAAAGTGTACTAAATATGGCAGCCAAAATTTAGGCTGCATTTCATGGTATAGTGTACAGGTATGGAGAGGTGATAATTCTGCCATTACATTCTGTCCTGGTCACACCATGTCTGGGAATATTGTGTTCATTGCTGGATGTTACATTTTTTGGGAAGTCTCAGCAGCACCAGCTATGTGCCAGGCTTTGTGCTAAGCACTGGGGATGCATAGAAGGGCAAAAACACATCTCTGCCCTCAAAAAATTCTTGGTCTAATGGAGGAGGCAGTGTGTAGACAACAGTGTTCATATAAGGTAGAGATTGCAAATGGAAGGCAACCTCACAGAAAAGATACTAGCAATAGGGGCAGCTAGGTGGTGCAGTGGATAGTGCACTGGCCCTGGAGCCAGGAGGACCTGAGTTCAAATCTGGCCTTGAGACACATAACACTCACTAACTGTGATTCTGGGCGGTCACTTGAGCTTTGGAAATTTGGCAGCTAGGTGGCACAGTGGATAGAGCAACGGCTCTGGAGGCAAGAAGAACTGAGTTCAAATCCAGCCTCAGATGCTTGACACTAGCTGTGTGACCCTGGGCAAGTCACTTAACCCCATTGCCTAGCTTAAAAAAAACGCAAGCAAAAAAAAGATACTAGCAATAAAGAGGAGGAGCTGGAAAGGCCTCTTTCAGAAGGTTGAATTCAAGCTGAGTCTTCAGGGATGTTAGGAGGCTGAGGTGAATAGGGAGAGCATTCTAGGCTTGAGGGATGATTGTTGAATAGGCATGGTGTTGGGAGGAGGAGTGTTGCATGTAAGGAACAAGAAGATTGGTGTTGCTAGATTGAAAAGTGCATGGAGGAGAGTAAAGAATGCAGAAAGGTAGGCAAGTTGACAAACTTACATTAAGGACCTACTATGTACTAAGCATTGTGCTAAGTACCTGGGATATAAAGAAAAGTTAAAAAAAAAACCTTCCTGCTCTAATGGGAGGAGACAACATAAGAATAACTATAGACAAAGTGCATACACGATAAAGTGGACTTTGAACAGCTCTCTCTTTTTTTTTTTTTTTGGTGAGGCAGTCTGAGTTGTGACTTGCCCAAGGTCACACAGCTAGTGTCAAGTGTCTGAGGCCAGATTTGAATTTAAGTCATCCTGACTCCAAGGCCAGAGCTCTTATCTACTTCGCCACCTAGCTGCCCCAAACCCTCCCTCATTTACATCCAATTCACTTGCAAGTCATGACATTACCTTCCTGATATCATGGTCCTTTTCAAGAAGGAAGAACAAACAATAAATGAGTAATAAATGGGGATTGGGAAAGGATATTTCAGAAGGTGAGATTTTTAGCTGGAACCTGAAGGAAGCCAGGAGGTGAAGATGAAGAAGCAGAGAAATTGGGGCAGCTAGGTGGAGCAGTGGATAGAGCACCAGCCCTGGAGTCAGGAGGACCTGAGTTCAAATCTGGCCTCAGACACATAATACTTCCTAGCTGCATGACACTGGGCAAGTCAGTTAACCCCAATTGTCTCACTAAAAAAAAAAAAAAAGAAAGAAATAGTGAAATCCAGGCTTAGACAACAGCAAATTCCACAGAATCAGGACTGTTTTGTCTTTTTTTTTTTTTTTTTGAGAAAAGGCCAGTGTTACTGGATTGGAGTTTGTGGGCTGAGGATGGGGAAGACTAAGGTGTAAGAAGACTGGAAAAGTAGGAGAGGGAAAAGTGATGAAGTCCAGTGGCTACCTCTTCCTGAGAGGAGAGAATGGCATGGTAAAACTTGGGCATTAAGAAAGGTTACTACTAGCTGAGTAGAAGATGGATTGGAATAGGGAAAGACTTGAGCCAGGGAGAGCAACCAGTAGGCATGAATCGATGAGGGCCCGCACCAGGTTGGCCATTGTATGAAAGGAGAAAAAGGAGTGTATGTGAGAGATGTGAAAGTTGGAACAACAAGGCTTGGTAACAGATTAGATAAGTTGTTTATCTTTTGTTTTTTTTTTTAAGAGAACCAATAACATGTATTGACATGCATGAATTCATTTATTTTTATTTCATTTTTTATGAATTGATTTAAGTAAAGCAGAGTTGCACAAAGTCATCAGCTTCACTTTATCTTCCTGAGTCATCAAAGTCTAGTGGCAAGACAAAAATCAGGAAGACTGGTGATAGCTGGGATGTAGTGGATGTCCTGGGATGACCTTGGTGTCCTGGAGGGCTGACCAAGCTCTATGGGGCTCCACAGTGCCTGCTTCAGCCACCTTCATGTTCTCATCTGCCCATTCTCCCATCTGCACGTGTTTGGGGGTGGACACCCCACCCAACTGACCAACAGGTTACCCTCAACCTGGTTTAGACTGTTTGCTGAGACAGTTTACTAGGAGAAGGCTACTGTTCATACTACAGTTTCATGGAGCTACAGGTGAGAGTTGGGTAAAGGTGGATGAGGAGCCATGAAAGGGCTTGGTGTAGGTGCCTTCATCTCTGGAGAACTTATAGAAGACAACATGTAAATTCCATGTATGAGGATTGGTTGAAGGAACTGGAATATTTAACCTTTAGAAGAGAAGAGTCAAATGGGGGAGGGTGGTGGTGGTTTCAGGTGTCTTTAAGTATTTTAAGAATTGTCTTGTGGAGGAGCGATTAGAATTGTTTTGCTTGTCTTAAGAGGCCAATCAGTCAATTAATCATCGATGATCCAACATTTATTAAGCACCTACCGTGTTCCAGGCACTGTGCTAAACACTGGGGATAAAAAAAGGGGCAAAAGACAGGCTCTGCTCTCAAGGAGGTTACAGTCTAATGAGAGAGAACATTCAAACAAAGCAAGTGATGATATTTTACAGTTACATGGTGTGCTTTAAAGTTTACAAAGCACTTTTTCTACATTAACTCGTTTATTCCTTTAAACAATCCTATAAGGTAAGTGGTATCACCCCCATTTTTCAATTGAAGAAATGCAGGCTCAGGTAGACTTCACTAATTAAAATTTTCCAAAAGGGGAGGTTGCCTCAGGAGGTGGTGAGTTCCCTGTCCTTGGAGATGTTTGAGCACAGGCTGTAGGGCCACCTGTAAGAGATGTTTTAGCAAGGATCATTGGTGGAGTATAGGTTAGACTAGATAGCCTGTGGGATATCTCCAACTCACATTTCTTTAAAACAGCCATGAAGGGAGGGAAGTGAAGGCTGGATCAGGGTGATGGAATGAGGAAATTAGGAGGGACTGGGGATACTGGAAATCTTGGTGGATGATATCAAAGAGCAAGTTCATTGAATGAGGGTGTGGTAGAACCAGTTTTTGCATGATTTTAGAGGTTGTGTTTTTATTTTTTGAAAGTGATTAGATTGTAGGTTATGGTGGTTCTTCCTCTTCCCTGGAGAGGTGCACCTAATGTGGTCACCAAGAGAAGAATGGCAAGGTGGGGGAATGGCCTCTACCTCTGTCTCCTGGTCAGGGCTGAAAAGGCTACTCAGTGCAATCTCTGTACAAGACACTAGATGGCTATCTAAGCTTGATCTGCTACTGTTCTTACCTCTTGGAGGGATCCTGTCCTCCCAGTCTATTCACACCCTGGCTGGAAAATCTTTTGCAAATACACTGGTTTACCGTGGATTACTTTGATTACCGAGGATTACTCAGACCTAGGAGAATAAGGCACGTAGAAAGTCACGTAGAAAGTCAGGAAAGATGCCCTTTGGCTGATACTCCCTCCCTCCCTCCACCTCCACTACACACCCCAAGGCAGTAATTCTGTAACTTCTTTCTTCCCTTGGGTTTCTTCCCAGAAGCCTGAATAGATCAATCAACATTTTTTAAGCACCTACTAAGTTTAAGTCCTTATGCTAAACACTGGGGATAAAACAAAAAAAGGCATTAAACAGTCCCTGCCTCCAAGGAGCATCTGATGGGGAAGACCACATGCAAACAAATACATATATAAAGCAAGCAATATACAAGATATATAGAAATTAACAGAGGGAAGGCACAGGAAGTAAGAGGTGTTGAGGAAGGCTTCCTGTAGAAG